TCAAAGTACATATTGTTTTAAAAGAACATTTCCAATTCTTTTCTGAAAATCCTGATCTGAATTGCTTAGCTTTTGTGACAGCTGTTAAAGAGACCAACAAAGGAAGACTCAGAAGAGCAGACCAAAAAAAAAAAAAAAAGACAAAAACCCCACACATCTCATCTGGAAATAGGCTATTTTCTATCAATTCATTTGGAGGCATTACTCAGGAGACATATTTCTGCCACACTAAGTGAAAAGGGTCCCTAAAGGCTCATTTTATAGGAAATAAAATCTCTTTTTCATTGTAAAATATACACAAGGTTTTGAGTTAGTTCAGGGTACAATCACCTTGGAGCTTCTGTACTGTCGGCAGATTCTTGGCTGGCACTGATGCTGCAAGTGAAACAACTTTAACTATGAGAGGGCGTCAGATATGGGGAACTTTGGGCCCAGGGTTTTCCTTTATAGTTTCCTATGAAGTTTTCCTGTAGTCTCCTTATAGTAGTTAAGGCTGAATTTTGTAGTCTCTAAGATCAGGAGATTCCACTCATCCCACTATTTCAGACGAGAGGCTTCTGAGATTCTGTGTCCATGCAGCAGCAAGGCAGAGCAAATGTTCCCAAAAGCAGCTCATGAGCACACATACATACCTTGCACTTGGCCACTCACACAAACAGAGAGTAGTACTCGTCTCAACACTTTCATATAAACAGAGACAGCAGACAAGTACACACAATATGAAAACAAACAAAAACTAAAAAGAAAATGGGAAGAAATCCACTGTAGAAACATGCATACAAAAGAAGCCTCTGAGATACAAGTACAGAAATCAGAGTAAGTTTCTTTACTACCTATTTCATTATTAGCCATCTATTATGAGTGGTTGCTGCCCTATTACTAAATACTTGCTCCTTACAGCTTTGACCAGTATCCCATGACTGGAGCTGGGAAATAAATGCATCTTTAATGAGCACCTTTCTGCAACGCATCTTTATTAGTGTCAGAAAAAAACACTGATGACCACTGTAATACTAGAGGCTGCCACACATGGGCTTAAAAATGCTCCTAACTAGAAGTAGTTAAGTAAATGACAGGTTTCTGCTTCTTTATGACATCAAGTTAATTAGCAGTTGATTGTTTTTGTATCTTAGCAAGCATACATAACTACTACCTGGAATATAAGTATGCACTATAAAAATACACACCACAGGTGGCAAATGCAGTTGAGCCATAAGACAGAAATGGCTACATCATCAAGCATATAATTTCATAGAAAATGATTACTGATATTAAGTAAGAATAAAAAATAGTCTTACATGGCAAAAAAAATTTTTTTCAGCCAACTGCCACATATTTGCAATTTTATTAACTGCCTCTATCATCTCTTCTCTAAATAAACTCCTCCCAAAGCACAGAATCTATCTGAGCAAGTGAATACTGGCCCTTTGCTTAAGACTGGGCTACAAATTCTATTAAATGAGTTGAGCAAGTCAAAGCTAATTTGAAATATAAAACTGAGGAAGAAAGAGGGTACATTGAATTGCATCCTCTTCTCCAGCTATGTCACTGGTGAAGAAAAGATATTACCACTTCGAAGAAATACTGTATTATAATATACTTATTATACTTATACTTACCTTTAAGGCGGCTTAGCATAAATATAAAATGAAGAACATGTTTTTAAAAATAAAGGACTGCTCTCTGTTTTGACAGGTAAGTAAGGATAATTGCACTCAGTCTTCTTTTCAGTTGAACAATAATCCCGTTGATATATAAAGGAAATGCACAAAGTTCATACTCAATATCTGAGGGGGATATTAGGAGAGAAACCAAAAAGATATGCAAAGACCATAAGCACTTACAAGCACGAAGATGAACATGTGATCAAAATTATACATCTACTACATCTAGTAGTAGAAGAAAAAGATGTGGACAGAAATTATATCTAAATATATCAACAGAGGTCTGAGGGATACCTTTAACAAAGAATTGGATGAGTGCAATTTAACATGAAATTACATTTGCTGAAGCCATATGCACAAAGGTGAAATGAACATGATGCTTATTATCGGCCAGACACAACTAAAATTCAAAAGCCAATGAACAGGAAACATGAGAATTAAGGATCTAGCAGAATATAGGCTACCTGATTATGCTAGTCATCATTACAAACTCTGCCCTCCTCCTGGATGGGTCAATCATATGCCTGAACACATGCATGTTGCTTATCTCTGCCATTTAAATATTCTGTGCAGAGCAGAAGGTGGGGAAAGACAAAAGGTACTGTAGAGATGTAAATGAAGCAAATTTTTCAATTGATATTGCCAAAAACAACAAACAAGCAAAAATTCAGGAATTACTACCAAGTGATAACACTTACTTTAATTCGTTCTTAAGGAATTGAATATCTTGTCTTCAGAGTCTCATGTTTTATAGGGTTTTTTTTCAAACAGAACAAAATCTTGTCCCTCAGAAAAGTTTTTCAGAAGACAGAGAATAAAATAATCTTTAAGTAAGGGCAGAAAAAGCTTTTACTGGCAAAGATGCAGTCAAGGCAATCAAAAGCCTCTCTTGCAATTTCCATGGCTCCTTAAGTCAATTACAAATAGATCTTTCCAACAAAATTAAGGTCAGTGTGTGAATCACACTTTGCAGGCTATTAGAGATTTAAAGTGCATAATTTCTTCACAATTCTTCTGACAGGGCTATTATTAAGCTATTATAACAACTATCCTCTGAGTAACAATGCAATAAAACATATATTTCTACATTTAACAGAGAGAAAAGCTGAGTACTACCTTTCCTTATTTTAATACAACATAAAAAGTAACATGGATCAGGGAATGTTACTGATATCCTGACAGATCTATTTTGAAAAACAGAGTGATTCATCAGTCTGAGAAAACTGAACTTCCAAAACAACAAGAGAAAGATAATGCATCTTTACTCAACACTTCTTAAGTGATTTGCTTCTGGGTGATGCACAAGCTATGCTACAAGCTATGCTGTTCGTCTAATTGCTTTAGTAGCAATTAGACCAACAGCTCCTCTTCAACTGCACCAACTCCTCTTCACCACTTCTGGGTAACCACAGACAATCAAAACACCTAAAACATTTCTAACAGGTAACTTATCATGCTGCTCTCTTTGCATAGATCAGGAACCTGTGCAGAATAAGTCAACAAGGGAAAACAAAACAAAAAAAACAACAACAACAAAAAGAAAGATCATGCAGGATGCCTTTTCTTTTTAATAAGAAAAGACAGCTGCAGTGAGTGCCTGAATGAGTTATCCAAACAAGTTGGAAAATATATGTGAAAATCATTTTATTAAGCAAATAAGCCCCAAAGCAGGTGCTTAATTTGCCTCTATTCTAATAGATGTAGCTTCAAATTACTTGGCACATTACTTCTTCAGCTTCCTGAAAAGAAACTTTTTGTAATCCCTGCTTACCAAGCACCGTTTCAGTTCTCAGAGAGGTTTCTAGTATGTATGGACTAGTTTTATTTTGGAAGAAATAAAGCCAGAGGCTTCCCTGCAGTTATGCACAAGATGAGTCCTAAACTTTCCATTAGGGTATTTATCAACAACTGAAGCTTTGGAGAGTTCATCCTCACACAAAGACAAACCTGCCTTGAACAGGGATTCAGCCAGAAGAGAGAGCACTTAAAGAGTCCTTTCTAGCCTGGATTATTTTATGATTCTATGGAAAATACTCACACCACACAGAGTACAGCCAACCACCATAGTGCTGTCTGGTTTCATCTGCTACTGTTGTTCCAAATTATTTTCTAATGCAAATACAGCCTTCCATATCAAACAGTTCTTATTAGCAGCACAACACATTGCTTTAATAAAACACAAATAATCCATAGTACTAAAAGGAGTTTGTGAGGACAGCATAGATCTCTCTACAGGTCTCCTCTTGCCAAGGTATATTAACCTGTGCAATGGTCAGAGCTGTTACAGCTAGATGGCTTCCAGGATTCAATTCCAGGATTCAACTTGTTTTCAAGTTAGTTCAGACATTTCTATACCATGCTGATAACTACAGTTAATATAGTGTTGATGCTGTGCAAGTTGAGAAACCAGAAAATCATTATGTATAACATGTACAACCTCTAAAATAAAAGAAACCAAAAATATGTCAACCAATGAATGGTGAAAATTAGTTTTAAGCTTAGCATTAACATCCTTTCACCTTTTAATGATATCCACTACAAACCAGAATTAATTCCAATGTATCTGCATATTTATCTCTAGCTCAGTATACAACCTCTTTAGCTGTGTGATGATTTTAAAAACTGACATCATTTATATTTCCTCAGTATAAAGATGTACTCCTCATATCGTCCTTCTCAACAAGGACAGGAGAAAACAAAAGTGGAAAAAAATGCAGAGAACAGAAGAAAACATGGAAGAATTATTCAAAAGACTAAGGTATAAAATGAAGAATCAAGGCAAGTTGTGCTAAGATCTCTTTACAATAGAATAATCAAAATAATCTCATTCCTTCTATGCCTGATAATGAAATGAGAATGTTTTTAAGTCTGGTATCTAAATATTTCCAGGAAAGCCTCATTTCCTAAGAAAGTAAAGCTTACAGGAACAGGATAATATAGTTTTCATGCTCACTCTGTTCATCTTAATTTCTCAGTCTTTGCCCAGTTTCAGTCAACTTTGACAAGAAGATTTCTCACTAATCAGCATTTTCTGAAAGTCTCAGAAACAAACAAAAAAGACCCACAATGGTTGAAAAAGAGACTTCCAAAATAGTATTCAACTAGTGTGATGCAATGTGAGTTTAAGTTAATTATGTTACTAGGGAAAAGTAAGTTGTTATGGTGAGACAATGCAAGAGATCACACAGAATTCCTAGACAGAATTCCTTAGGAGGTCCAATTTCCTCAGTTCTACTGCTCACAGAGAAACTTCTTTACTCAGTTCACTGCTGCTGCAAAGCACAGAAGTTTTGTCATATAATTAATTATTCAAAAACTCCAGACAACCATTCTTACCACATCTGTTCCATGTCTTCTTTCCAGGAGAAGTCGGAAGATATTAGCTGTAATCTTGTTATCCTGGACACCTTGTCCAAGGCCACGATTGTCATCCTGCATAAGCCGGCGATCCATGATTACTTCTAACTGACCTGAAAAAGCAATGTAAACATTTCACAGGCCACAAGAATATGTTAGGCTTTATTCAACATAAGATAATGTCTCTCCCTAAAATAATAATTGCAAAGGATCCCACTGATGAAGGAGGAATAGTAGATTGTTACTGTTAGGTCAGATTATAAAAACAGTTAAAGTCTCTGATTTTGGTTCTTACAACCTCCCTAAATTTTCACATGCCCTTCATCCTTTCATTCAATTCTTTATCAAATTTGAAATTGAAATCTTGCATGAACATTACTCTTAAATATTATTTATAACTGGGAGACTTGGTGCATCAAGCACTGAAGTGGAGAAGCAGCCAGAATAGCTGCATCTGTTTGCAGAGTCCTTCTCAGAGCATGTGTCCTTATCTTATGCTATATGAAAGAGTGCACCTCTAAAGCACATTCTTTCCCCATGTGATATTTTAAGGTGGTATCAGACAAAAAAAAAAAGTAGATAGTATGAAGAATAAATACTAACAATCACTCCTTCTATGTGGATATCCTCATTTGTGTGAGAAGAAAAGAACTTTGAACAAGACAAATATTGAATAAGAAGTTCTTAGTTTGGAATAAATTAAAGCACTGCCTTTCTTAATGGCTCTGCAGAAACGTCCTCTGCATAGGTTGTATGCACAATAAGTGCATGAGTAGGTTCCTCCAGTGCCTGTAGAAGAATCCACTAGTGAACTAGAAAAAGTGGACTAGTGCATAACTGGGAGAAACTTCTCAAGTAGAGGAAGAACAGCACCTTGCATTAAAAAGAACTATTATACATCAAATCCCACGAACTGACAGAAGGTAGGAAAGAATGGAAAGTTGTAGCATATGTATTTTACAGTTCTTGGAGTTGATCTTGAAGATATTGATAACATACCCTAACATGATAACATGAGAAACCCTACTCCACATTGCTGGAATCATCTGACAGCACGAAAGGTAACCAACTACTCATAAGGAGAACATGTCTTGAATCAAGAATGACAGATATCTGTTCTGATAAACCTGACATAGTGGATTATGGCTTGAAAAACAGATCAATCTGCTATCAAAGGCATCTGCCTAAGCTGTGATGCTTTTGACTTTTCTGTCAGGATCTTTAGGAAATCACTGAATGATTTTCACAAGAAAGGTAGAGAAGAGCATAGTTTTAAGCACCTCCGAACTTTCAGGTTCATTTTGGTTCCTTATTAAGGAGTCCAACGTGATGAATATATTCCCCTCTTTCCTTTTCCCTTTTTTTAATAAGCAGATACAGAGTAAATATTTGATGTTGCCAACCACCCCTTTAGCCTCATGTGACACAAAAGCATTTGCCAAAGAGATATGGCACATATATACTCTTCCATGTAAGTGATGTGGGGAAGAACACCTCCAATGCCCCTGACTAGATTGAAACTCTGTTCACAGAAAGCCATTTTCTCCATAATATTTATCTGAAATATCTCAAGCATCATCGGCTCTACTTGCCATGACTCAAAGACAGACAGAGAAGTCTGTCTATCTCTGTGGACAGATGCTACGTCATTCTGTGATGCAGAGACTAGAATTGTTGATACACAGATACACAAGGTAACTGAGCCTCTGCACCCTAATTACTCTCCATTATTGAGAGTTAACTAGCATCTAAAATGGTTAGGTCACATCAAGTTCACTCACAAGATCAGACTGAAGGGAAATTAATTTTGTGTCATTAATCTCTAGTGTGACTGACTGAGAGCTCTTTGCTGAAACACACATTGCAGCACTGACTGAAATAAGGAATGGGCTGATGTGGCAAATCAATCACTTCAAGACTTCATGTAGTTAGTGGGGCACAGGATGCAGCAGTGCAGGTTATCTGCATTCCCTTTGCTGATGCTTACAGCTCTTTGTCAAAGAGATATAAGAACTCTATGATATTGCACTCTATGATGAAATATGCCATGTCAGTCTACAAGAATACATTTCTTGAGGATATGCAGATAGATCACTGCTGGTCTACCACAAAAAAAGATGTAGATACTAGAGGTAAACTCCTTTTAGTACAGAAGCAGAATAATGCAACCAAACATACAATAGCTTTCCAAGGCATGTCTATAGGTGAAGAAATAAGGCAATATATCACAGAACTAAACCCACTGAAGAATTCCCTTGCCCCATAAATAACCAAACTAGAAGAATTCAGTTCTACTAACTGCAATCCTTGTAACAACTTAAAGCTGACCCACTCAAAACCAGAGGTTTGTATAGCATAGAATTTAATGCTGGATGTATAAATGAATAATTCGCAATCATAATGTTATTTTAAATTACTTAAGCATTTAGATCTAATTTCCCATACTGGGGAAAAAAAAGGCATTTTCTTGTATCAGAATCCCAATAAATTATGTTAGTGTTAGGCTTTAGGTCATGTAAATATAAAACCCTGTGGGGTTTTGTTTTTCTTTACATTTATGTAAATATGCAAGGCATTTTTACATAACAGGCAAGACTTATGAAGAGTAGTAGTATCTCTCAGTTTAATAATGCAAATGCTCCAAAAGTGGCTAAAGTTTTCTTAGCTGGCTGGCATAAATCACAACGATGCAAGTTTGAATACAACAATAGCTGAAAATCTACTTTTATCAGCATTGTCAAGTAGCAGTCTGGTAAGAAGAGAGAGAAATATTTGCATGTACAGCACGTGTAACTATCACACCTGGGGTCAATGATGTGTTGAAGATTGGTGAAGCTTATTCTTACTTGAGTGATTGGATACAAATTAAATTGTCTTAAGAGCTCTACCAACATCTGAAAAGTTGTCAGGCAGACTCTAGTCAAAAAAGGAAGTCTAAAACGATTATCATGTGTTCTTGATGGGATATATTCTTCCACTATTCTGAGCTTCAGGCAATGAATGCAGCTCAAACGAAGTCACAGAGCATTCAGAGCTGTTATCTGTTAAGTTATGGATCATGCTTCCATGATCCATAAGCAGCCAAATCATCACCTTTTCCTCACTGAAATAGGCCAATGTCTTTATGAGGAGCCTCAGTATCATGATAAGGTCAAAGAGCAGGTCCCAGAGCATGAAATGGTCATGACTCACAAGGCAAGAGGTGGGCTTTTGATGTGACAACCTGACTTTCCCAGGGGAAACAGGTATGAAGTTTCCTTCTCTATTACTACTTGAAGATACAGGATTACTACAGACAATTTAAAGTTTTGAATAAAGATTAATCCTTCTGCTAATCAGGGGCAATTTTCAAACTGCCATCTTTTAATTCCAAGAAAAAATAAACCCTAAAGACTCTTTGTCCTAAAACGAATCAAGTTTGTTAACACCCTTATCAGTCCATGGCTGTATTCATCTTTTGTCAGAGCAGACATTAACAGGGACATTTTCTGAAAAGAAACTGGTTTTTGGCATTTTTTCTGATGGCTTTTACTCATTCTAAGTATTCAGTCAAGCTGCTTTTCAAACTTACGTAATTTTAAATTCACAGCACCCAACAACAAGGACCTACAAATCTTAAACTATGCTTTACACACCCTATTTTTTCTGCCACTCGCTAGTGTCATTTGATGTCTCCTTGATCTGGGAGTAGAACAGACAGTGAACAACTGACCTCTGGTTCACTTTCTCTGAGGGTGCAAGTCTGAAGAATGTGCTTCGCTGCTACAAGGGGCTGGGCTGAATGCCTTTTTGGCATTCTTGATATCAGCTAGATTTTTCTTGTCAACATATTCATCAACTCTTTCAAAGAACTCCATTTACTTTATGAGGCATGGTTCTACTTCAATCTCTTAGCCAGGGTAATATTTATCCTCTAGTTAATGCTGTTCTTTAAAATAGCACTAGTAGTTTGCTTGATAGTGATATAAGGCTATGCACTCTGTAGTTTCTAAGTCCACTCCCCTCTACCTTAATAATCAAATAAATTAAAAAGAAACAAATTATAAAACACAAACACACACACAATTAATATCATGTTATCTATATTCATTTTTCTCCCACAAAAGCAGTACAAAAGATCACGAATCATTCAGTGCTGCTGTTTGATCTTTGAGTTACATCAGAATTCTCGCATAAATACTACTCTGCTATGACAATTTATTGATCATTTTGTCTTCTTCAGAACTCTTTCCAACTAACTTACTGATTTGTGACAAATGTCTCAATGAAGACTAAGGGATCTGCTTGTGAACAAACTCAGGATCCTCCCTATTCTAGAGCTTGTCAGAGGTAGGTGGGGTTTTTTCTTTTTTTTTTTTTTTTTTTTTTTTTTTTTTTTTTTTTTTTTTAACCGGGTGGTATTGTAAGCTGTGAATACATTAAATAGTTCAGATCATCATAACAGAAAGTACTTTATAGTATCCATGATCTTAAACTTACCATTTTTCAAGCTTGTAACACCTAGAGACTGAGCTGAATGTAATGTCAAACGAACGCCAACATCTTGGATATAAGCCATTGTAGTCATAGGATAGATATTTGCTTGAAGAGGCAATTTGCTCATCGTCAGTCTGGGTTGAATCTACATTATGAACATGAACTTCAATAAAATACATTCTTTTCATGCATTTAAATTTCAAAGACCTTTTCAAATATTTATCCCAGGTGCTTCAGAAGCAATGATTGACAACTGGCACCAAAGTATTCACTCAGCTGTATTATTTAGCTTTTTGGAGATTTGTGGCTAAAACTACCACTTCGGAAATCATAACTCCAGTGTATTTCTAATTCAAAGTACAGTATAAAAAAAAAAAAAAAAAAAAAAAAAAAAAAAAAAAAAAACTGAAAGATTCATCAAGAGAATCTGCAAAAAGAAGAATTATTACAGTCGTACAATGAGATCATTTTTTTTTCCTCCTCCAGAGAATAAGCTGTGAATATATCTTAGGTAGCAGAAAAAAGAATTCCTAGTTTTCTAATGGGAACTTTAAATGAACATGCTAGGGGAATTACGAACAATACATGGCAAATGAATAATAGTATACAATATACACATATATTAGTATACAACAGTACACAATAATTGTGTACTGTATGCAATAGTATACAATATTACAATACTGTAATACTATACTATATAATATTACAATATTACAATAATACTATACAATACTATACAATATGACAATACTATATGCAATAATACACAATGCTTAATTGTATACTATACGGAATAGTATACAATAATTAATAATAGTATTACAAATGAAAAATAGTATTAAAATTATTTCCACGTTTAAATATTTGCTTTGTGGCCTTTAGAAAACAAACTTTAGGAAAGCTATGCAAAGAAAATTGGCAAAAATATAATCTTTTAATCTTTTGTTCAATAGGTATTGTTTTAAATGTACTCACAGTAACAGTATTGAAAAACTGTTCTAACTTTTGTCCATGTTGCAGACTTTATGTTAAAAAAATAATTGTACCTACTTCATCCCCTACATTACAAATAAAAAGAATTTACTGCACTCCAGAAATTACATTCACTGTCTTATTTCTAAGAGCAGCAAGTAGATGTCTTCTAGGTCAAAGCTAATAGTTGTTCAGCATTATATACATGACTAGAGCTCAACTACTCAAACCAAAGAGACAAGACAAAAGGGAAAAAAAGAATGCAGTTATACAAGCAAATGCATGATGGCTTGTCATAGCTTGTGGCATTGCAATTCTTATATTTTTTAAAATTTGTGAATTCCTTAAAAGATGAAGAACCGCCCCCTCCCCCACACACAAATTCCTTACAATTTTAAGTATTAAGACAGTTGAAAATTGAGATCTTATGCCTCTATAACTAATAAATCTGATAATTAGTAATTACCTGATATCCATTAAGATCGGTATAGAACCTATTTTGACTGTTTATGTCAGATGAAATTCTCATTGCAAGTTCACGATTATACTCTCCTCTAATATCCACAATATTAGAAACTTCAAGAGACTGTCCTTCCAAACCTAAAAATGAAGCATTTAAAAACCTCTCATTTTTTTTAAAAAGACATCACATAGAAAAGAACAATGGCATTCCCAGAACACAGCTATCTGTTTTCCACTGACGGCTCTTCCTTCCTGTCTATACAGATACTTGAAGTTGGTGCAGTTAGTTATTATACAATATAGTTGTGCTTCTTATTCAGGACTCACTTGACTGTCATTCTGAAATCACCGTTAAAGTAAATCAGTAACTGTATTACAATAATTCAAAATATTCATGACAAGAACCAATAAACCAGTAGGAAATGCTGCATCACTCTTAAGTGCTATCTTTAGCATTAGCTAATACCCTGGAACCACTTCTTGGCATTCACTACTCCTCTTATACTATAGCTTTGGCTTTTCACAGGCAACACTGAAGTTACTGCCCTCTGATCCAGCAGTTCTATCAGACTGTTCTTACTGAACAGCAAATTGATGAGCTGTTATAACTGAAAATGAGAGAATCTACATACTGATATGACCATGACCAGGAAATAAATACAGTCTAATAGGACTGGCAGTTGTCTATAAAAAGTACCAAATAGTAAGAAAAAAATCAATTTCTCTTTGCAGTAATGAAATAAAACTATGCTTGGCGACAGACTGTAAAAACAGGATGACAGAAGTTGAATGACTGAGACTTAACTCTCTTAGTCTTTTAACATTTAAAGACAGTTTTTAAAGGATTAGATATTAAGGAATTAAGACTTAATTAAGAATTAAGAGTTCATTAAGAATTAAAGACTTAATAGTTACAACAGCTCAATGTATCTTAGCAGACGAGAGCCAAAAGACAACCTTGTGACAGTCTGGGCTTCCGAACACTGCAATCTTAGCCACATAATAATGCATAATAATCTAAGATACCTAAGCACACACAGACAACCTCTTGTTTGTCTTTATTTTCTCAATCTTATTTTCTAGTTTTGGTACAAGTTCACATTTTCTTTCCCTATATTAAATTAACTCTTTAAATAATGAGAGCAACTAAGATGATTAAGGGAATGGAACATCTCTCGGATGAGGAGAGACTGAGTGAACTCTGCCTGTTTTCTCTGGAGAAGGCTGAGAGGGGATATGATTAACACATGTAAGTTCATAAAGGGAGAATGCAGGGAAGAAGGGGACAAGCTCTTCTCATTGGTGGCCAGCGATAGGACAAGGGGTATTGGGCATAAGCTGAAACACAGGCAGGTCCCTCTGCATGTGAGGAGGAACTTCTTTCCTGTGAGGGTGCCAGAGCCCTGGCACAGGCTGCCCAGGGAGGCTGTGGAGTCTCCTTCTCTGGAGATCTTCCAAACCCGCCTGGATGCCGCCCTGTGCCCCGTGCTCTGGGTGTCCCTGCTGGAGCAGGAAGGTTGGACTAGATGATCTCTAGAGGTCCCTTCCAACCTTGAATATTCTGTGATTCTGTAATGACATTTTGTTTAAAAATAGGCTGGCATTGAGAGTGGAATAAAGCTGATCATTTCATTTCCACATTTTTTTTTGGTCAAAAACATACCAACAGCTGTAGTATTATCTTTAATATAATTCCAACTTACAACACTATCATGAGAACTGTTACATCTTCTTCCTAATCAAGAATGTTATTAATTAAAAATGTTGAAAAATCACATTCCTAAACTGCACTTGTACTCTACAAGTGTCTAATGCAATCCATGAATACCAACAGCTCATTAATATATAAAATAGGTATATCATATATTATAAAATATATTAATATAGCTATTTTTTACTACAGTAATCTGAAACATATGCAAAATCTGTAAATTGTGAAAGTTCATGTTTTGCTTTTTTATTTTCTGCATCCACCTGAAGTCCTTGAGCTTTAACTTCAATAGTTAGTAGTTCCTTAATTACTTCTTTCTTACTCTTTGAACAGTTACTTAGTAGTTACTTCCTGAGCACAGAATTTCCTTTTATATGTGTTTGGTTTGTTTCCAAAGAAACTATCACCACGGGAACCTATAATACCAACTAAAATTCTCAGCTGTTACTATGATCATTTTTTTTTTTGATGCACAGATCTCATGTAACTACATACATAAAACTTCTAATTTTAATGTAAGCTATCTTCTGGTATCATATTTTCTAGAAGCACTGAAAAAAATGAGGAAAAAAACTGTCATTTGCTCATGCTGCAAATTTTTATAATACCTTTATTTCTGTTCTGAGCCACTCTTCTTCTTTTTAAATCTACTCATTGTCAGGATAGCTTATTTTAACACCTAAAAATGGGAATGCAGCCAAGATTTCCAAATATTTAATATTATGTTTTCATATAAATATATTGTCATAGATTTGTATATAAAAGTGTGTGTAAACGCACACACACACACCCCATATTCAAATTCTTCTTCCCATTCAGTTTGACAGCATGTTGCAATAAATTTCTTAAGACCACCTTTACTCTGTCAAATTGTAAGCCAATCAAACTTCAAACAAGGGAAGAGTAAGCATTTACCAGCAATTTCAGATTCTGCACTGGTTTTTCCTAAGTAAAATGCAAGTACGCTTGTGATTTTACTACCCTTCATGTCTTGATTGAAAAGAATGTCAAATGGCTTTTTTTTCCCACACATTTTAAAAAATGTTAATTCCACCTTCAGCATTACTAGCATGTTAAAACGTTAACATATACGACTATTACATCACTAATATCACTATTATATCTAAATGAAAACAACACAGCAGGAAAAAACTATGTCATCTACTCCAGACCTAGTCAGTAAAATGCAGATCTATAAACTCTAGTCTGTATATTTTTAGTTATGGATTTTTCCAACCATTAAAAGAGATGAGTATATTAAGCAAGGATACAAAGACCCAGTTTACAACCTTAGAACGACCAAAGCACAGATTACAGAATCACAGAATCATAGAATGCTGAAGGTTGGAAGGGACCTCAGAGGTCATCTAGCCCAACCCCCCTGCTCACACAGGGTCACCTAGAGCACGGGGCACAGGGCTGCGTCCAAGCGGGTTTTAAAGATCTCCAAAGAAGGAGACTCCACAACCTCTCTGGGCAGCCTGTGCCAGGGCTCTGGCACCCTCACTGTCAAAAAGTGTTTCCTTAAGTTCATGTGGAACTTTTGGTGCCTCAGCTTGTGGCCATTTCCTCTAGTCCTATCCCTGCCCACCACTGAAAAGAGGCCGCCCCCTCCTCCTCACTGCCTCCCTTGAGGTATTTATAGACACTGATCAGGTCCCCCCTCAGCCTTCTCTTCTCCAGGCTGAACAGGCCCAGCTCCCTCAGCCTTTGCTCATAGGGCAGATGTTCCAGGCCCCTCATCATCCTCGTAGCGCTGCACTGGACTCTCTCCAGTAGCTCCACATCCCTCTTGTACTGGGAGCCCAGAAGAACTGGACACAGTACTCCAGCTGGATTATATCCAGCTCTTCCGTAATGCATAGTTTGAGCTAACACAAAAACAAAATCATTGCATTTAATGAAATACGGAAAGCCTCTAATAAAAAGATTTTTTTTTAAATTTATGTCAATCATGTTTTAAACAACAACGGATAAGCGCACAGAAATTTAAATTTCACTCTATGGCCAATTATGGAAAAGAATCATTAAGCCGAAAGGTTCCCTGCTCTGTCAGGCCAAATAAAAGCAAGAGAAGTCTGAAGAACAGAGAGGAAAAGGAGTGTTTAGTCAAAACTGCTTGTAAAACAAACAGTATAAAAGATAGTATAACTCCCTGCAGATAATTTATACTGTAAGACTTCCCAGTGCTGAAAGATGTTTCAGCAACAAATCTGCCAAGTTAACTTTTCCCTCACCTTACAGATCAGTAATTGAGGCTTAGAAAGGGATCCTACTGTCTTTAGATCCTGTGGGGAGTTACCTGAAGCATGCTCTGCTAGTTTAGAAATGCATTCAAATGTCAGAAGTATAAGTAGTGTCCAAGACTGCAGCGATGAATAATAAACAACGTGAATCTAGGCAGTTTCACAGTTCTTACCCCGGATTTTATAGAGTCGCATGGTATGAGTCACATGAGGGAAAAAACATACAACTTCTGAGAAAATCCTCCCATGAGTGACTCTTACAGTAGGTGGATCTGTAAAAATATAAGGCTACAAAAAGAAAAAGAGAAAATTAGAACAAGTATTTTAAAACTCTGTACAACAGCAGTCTCAATAAATGAAAGTAGTTATTAAATATTAGTCATTTTCAGTTTTTAAAAACATACAATGTAACTATGCTACTCCAAGTCTAGCATAAAAAACAGGAATTCAAGAATTGTTGTTCCTAATAGGAAATTCAGAAATTCAGCAATTTTTTTTTAAAAAACACACCTTTATTTTAGCTAAAATTAGCATGAACATCAGTACCCACCTCACAAATATTTTAAGAGGATCAATGAACACAAGACTTATAGACACATGCATACATTAGTGTATAGCTAATGCAAACATCTGAAGTCAGTTTCTGTGTACAAGATTATAGTGGCTAATCAGTAATCAAGTAATGCAGGTTCACAACATTTAACAGATAGTTTAACTGTCTGCTTTGATTGTGAACAGTATCAGTGGTGTATACCATATGAGTAAAACTGCCTCTATATTGTCTTGTGGATCAGTTTGTGAATCTTTAATAAAGCAAAGTTTTAGAAGAGAAAGTTTTAAAGGGAAATTTTCTTTAGCAAAAGCAACTTCTGTTGATGAGCGCTCTGCAATGTAGGGTTGCAGGAGGGAAGAGGTAAGAAACCCCAAGAAAGTGACTGGCTCTTTACTAACGTCTCCCAAAAGCCCTGTTGACAGTTAAAATAAAATAAAAAAACTATGATCAAAACTAAGAAATAAAGACAATGGTTTTCATAAGCATACACACAACAGAGTCTCAGCTAAGCAAATCTCATTTTTTTTAAAACAGCCAATCACAAGCACAAGTGCATGCACTATACAGAAACATATGAATGCAAATGCTGGATAAATAAGTCTATATAAAGCAAAAAAAAAAAAA